ACAGTGGTCGGGGGTTGGAATGCTCTGCCTGCAGATGTCGTCATGTCAACATCCGTCGAGGCTTTTAAGCGTAAGTTGGACCAATTTACCACCAAACATCACAATGTCACCCAACCGATACTGTCTTAGCGTTTCATTCTAAAGGATTATTATTGTTTTAATATTACTGCCTGTTTTAAGAAGGCCCTTGGTCTGTAGGAGGCCTCCTATAGGTTGTCCATCACAGATTTCCGCCGATGACAGATAGCCGCGTTGCCGATACAAGCGAAAATGCGAGATGCGGAACTATTTGGTAAGAAACAGAAGCGATCGCTGAAGCAAGGCCTTATATGCCTGACGTTTCGGATTAACGCTCAAACCCATCATCATAGACAGTGACAAAAACGGGTAATTCGTGCAGAGGAAGTTACAGTGTTTATAGGATGCAGTCGCTATGCTACTGCATACCTATGATAGTTAACCGTGCCCCCTTCATCAAAAATTGTTGCCCGCTGGTGTTCTAAATGCTTGATGGGCGGCAAGCAAGTTGTTAATTGTTAAAATCGCATCACCCGCGTTGGATGCTGGCGTGATGATTGGTCGGCCATCTGGCTCACCGGCCCGCGCGCTCCCCGAGTGGTTAATTAACTTTGCCAACCTGCGTCTTAGCACTGAATATGGAATGGGGATGTCGTTGCACTTGTTGATAGACTGGGGTCTCGTGAGCCATGACTCAGGCAAATTGCGGCTCAGGCGATTGTCACCTCTTGCGAGAATTTCAGTCTTATCGAACTGGAGTGTATGACCGAAGGTTGAATTTCACGCGCCAATTCTCGCAGTTGATTGCTGCCGAAAACGCCGCCTTCATCGATCGCCAGCACGCGCTGCGTTTTGTAAATGCGCTTACTATTTCCTGTACAGAAAACACCCACACAGTCAATCTCCGAGCTTGACATGAGACTCCTCCGCCGAATTACTAGCGTCTTGTGGCTTGGAGAAGCTACTTTTGTTTTAAAGTAGTATGTATTCGTTGGATGTTTTGATAATTAAAACTGTTGTAATGGAGCGTCAAAAGCGGGTGGTTGGAAAACGTCCAGCTCGCTATACACAAACCGATTCAGTGGGCAAATGTTACATTTAGTATTTGTACGGTTCACCCTCATCAGTGTACGTTTCCGGCCGACTTAAGACCTCGCAGTTAGGTTGTACTCCGTAAGCTTCTGCCTGAAATGACGGTGTGTGCTTGTGCATTGATGTTTCGTATGCTTAGGTAGATAGTCATACATTTGACAGTAGGCCTACATGAACAAGTGGTTCTCACCAGAAACATTCTAAAAATATCATTTTCCTGTTTAATAAGAGCCGCGATACGCACGGACTCCGTTATGCAAATAGCACGACGCGGGGTGATGATGTGCATTCAGTAGTAGAAGGGCGCTCACCGATCGCGCCGTTATGCGACTGCCGGTGTGGCTCAAGGGAGAGAGCCCCAAGGCACTACGAGACGAGTGAGTTGAGTAGCGCGATCGGTGAGTGTCCTGTAACCATTGTATAAACGCGATCACAATACACATGAAAATGAGTTCTTGGCCCATTGGTTAGGGGCCCATGACTTCTAACCGACAAGTCACGGAATGGAGCCTCAGGTGTTCAACACCCCCTGAAAGTGGGTATTGCTGGCTGACGACGACTAATATGTTTGCAATGTTATCTGGGAGCTTCGTACCGTTAAACATGAAGTGCAATTTAGTCCGTTGTTTTCCACAAAGAGTAAGGATGATCTGCTGGGCTGATAGTATCGGGAAGGGACTTAAGATTGCCGAAAATCTCCTTCGCCAGAGCGGGTATCCCGACCGATTCATTGCCAGGCACATGACTGATGGACCACCAAAACTCCCGATGCTAACGGCAGAAAAGAAGAAATTTTCCATCAGGGTCCCCTCTAAAGAGGACGCGCCAAGTAAACTTCTAAGAAAACACTTAACTGAAGTTGACACATGTGTACTCTTCTCGACATGGCTCATCCTACATGGAGAGGGCAGGGCCAAACAGCCAGTCCAGACCACTTATATGTGTTTTTACTCCTTCACCTGATCCTGTGGGGCAGGAGATAGTGGACGTACGGGCCGGCGTTTGTCCAAAAGAATGAGAGAACACCCTCCAGCATTGTTAGGAAAGGGCCAAATAAAGAAAGTCAACAGCTCTATCCTCGCCCATACGGTAGACATAGATCACTGTTTAGATTCAGGACAGGCATTCCGAGTGATTTAAAAGGCCCCGTCAAGATATCCAAAAGCATTTAGACAGCGTTTGTTGGCAACGACAGAGACGGCTGCAATCAGGCTATAAAAACCAGTTCTATGCGCACAAAAGAACTTCGTACAGGTCCCCCAGTTACCATGGGCCGGAGCCACCATGCCAGCCACCAGCGTAGAATTACCCGTCCCAGTGCCCACTATCCCCTTCTCCCCTCTGACACTGACGGGAATTTTTTTTACCTCACCCACCCCGACCCTCCCACCTAAACTCTAGCTATAAAATAACTTCTGCTTCTCCGCATTTTCATTTTAATCATTTCGATAACAATATAAATGTATGGGGCCGATGAGAATTTATCGAGGGCTTGCCAATGTCCACCAAGTAGTCTTTTGAATTTTTCAATGGGAATTTTTGCAATTTTATTGTTATTTGTATGCATCCACGTTATCGGAAACTGTGCTTTGTCAAGTCGGACCTGGCTTTAAATCTTGATTGTGTTCTTCTTTGCTTATCAATGTGGTTGCAATGCATCCAACAAAATCCGCCCTTTTTCGAGAAAAAACACCAGCTTCGGACACCTATTCATTAAAAGAAGTTACTTTGCACTCATTCTTCACCGAAAATGTTTTGTAAACAGACCACTTGTTTGAAAGCTTACAATGCGAAGCTTCTTTTTGATTTTCCCTAGACCAAAAGGAGAACTTGAGCTTGCCCGGAAGACTAACAGGATCTTCGTCGAGGACCTGGCCGGTACAACAAAGCACTATCATTTGAAGGACTATTTTTCGAAGTTTGGCGCAGTTATTGACATCATTCTACTGAGATCTGCAGGGGGACAGGCTCCAAGCCGCTGTGGTTTCATCAGCTTTCGCGATTGGGCCTCAGTTCGCAAAGCCCTTGACTTCCACCCCCACATATTAAACGGGACCCGCATCACCGTATCTCTGCCCAACATCAAGAGGATGAGTCTTATTGGGTACGTTTGTAACGGTAGGGTGTTGGATCCCCACATAGTCGGCAACACCAACTCTGTTTGACGGCCAACACCTCTTAATATTTACCGTTCCTATTGGTTTAACATTTCCGGGGCTTCCTGACTAAATGTTAATCTGCCAGTAGCGGTTTATTAAAAACCCATTATTTTTCGAAAATCGCTTTTCGGCTCCTTTTTAAATTATCGTGCTCACTTTCTTTGCCATACGACAGCACATGACACGAATTTCTGTAGAAATTTGTCTATTTTCTGTCCTGTGTGTCTCGCCACCCGTAAAACCCCCTATACCACTATTCAGGGTATGACAAGGTCCAGAGGTTACCTCAAGTTAATTTGGGTTCTACAGCCCACCGTTGCCGGTAGGTTTCGCCGTGTGAGCACCAGTAGGCCCGCTGTGGTCGCCGGCAGGATATCTCTTATTCCCGCACAACAGCATCGTAAATTAAAACAAACATGAAGCATAGAAAACACCTTTGCAGCAATAAGTGCCACTTTTTGGGTAAAGTCAAAGGGGATTTCAAACAAAGACTTTTTTGCGCCCTGCCATGTGCTATAGCAGATCCACTTACTAACTGGTCGCAAAATACTACTATAAACTGGACAGATGTGCCCCCGTCTTTTATTTACTTACAGTAGATGTGCTAACTCATGAAATGTCAAACAAACTTTCGAAATGCGTTCTCTTTTCGAAAAGATAAATTGAGTAGTATTGTAAAACTCATCATGATGCAGCAAAAATGTATAATGATCCGGTTACCTCAGGGTATCGGCTTTAAAAAAGAACGTATTTTCAGCTGCATGCAAGATCTTTACTCTGCAAGAAATGACTACTTAAGCAGTATGCAACTGTATCATCGATTTTCGATGTCCTTAAAAATTCAATTATATTTCATGGAAAGCATGCATAAAAATTTTCATCCTTTTACTTATTCGATAAAAAATCACGTCTTCTTCCAATTTCATACTCAAAAAGAGAGAATAATTTGGTTTTAAAAAAAGATTTCTAATTCCCAAATAATTTTGAAACTGACCTGATGTTACACTTGCATTCAGGGTTTCGAAAATACAAGTTGTATATTTCCCGTGTACGAAAAAACATGCATTTTTTTACGGTACCAAGAGGAGACCATATGGGGTTCATAAAATTCGGCAGAAGATTTAAGCAATATTGCTAAATTTACAAGCCATATTCGTAAATGTAGATACATGACATTTCATGAACGGCCACTTAAGGGTATTAAAAAATCTCACAATTCGAAACTTTTTTGAAACCGAATTATACTCTTCTTTTGAGTATGAAATTGGAATAAGACGTGATTTTCTTCCAAATAAGTAAAAGAATGAATATTTTTATGCATGTTTTTCATGAAATATAATTGAATTTTCAAGGGCATCGAAAATCAATGAGCAAATTGCATGCTACATATGTAGTCACTTTTTTCAGAGTGTAGATCTTGTATGCAGCCGAAAATTAGTTCTTTCGGAAGCTGACACCCTGAGGTAACTGGATTATTATAGATTTATGATGCATCATGTTTAGTTTTACAACACTACTTAATTTATCTTTTTGAAACGAGAACGCATTTCGAAATTTTGGTTGACATTTCATGAATTAGCACGTCTACTGCATTTGCTTATGACGTTATTTCGTCATTTATTGTTCTGGATTAAAGGACAATTCTTAATTTTACAAATTTTCACAAAAAGGCAGTTTTTAAGTTCTTGAAACGTACATCCCTTTATTGGTGCTCTTTATGGAGCACGCAACTTTAACAATAATTTGTACGAAATGTTATGGCTTATATATGACATCTTCTTAAAAGCATAGAGGTATAGGACTTTTTGCCTTTAAAATGTATGGGCTATAGCTCAAAAATCCCCGGCGAAAATGAAATATAATATTAAGTTTACACTTATTCGGCGATTGAAAAATTTTTGTCAAAACCGAAAAAGCCTTTCTCGGGGTATATAACTTGTAGAAGACATAACTTGCTACCAGATATACATAATTAAAGATATGCGTGTCCAAGGTTTCCATAAGGTACATTTAAATGCATGGGATAACAGAACGTTGATTGAAAATATGCTTACAAAGTAAGTACTCATTTTCATTAAATGAGGCCGAAGCAAAGCAAAATGAAAAGTCTGGCTTATTCTGGTAGACGATAATTAATTATTGTAAGCCAAACAAGGAGTCTTGTTTAATGGACATCACATCTAGAAATTTAAGTGAACATTTTATGAGATTGGCCACTCCCTGTATAGGCAGTACGGCATTAATAGGTTTCGTAGAGCGGAAAAACGATTCATAAAAATGCAAAATTAAGTCGGATCATACATACTGCTTCCTCATTAATATATTAATTTGCGCTTTTGGTATGGGTAAGTACTGACATTTTTATCCGAGCATTAACTAGCTTCTTCTGATTTGATATTTGGAGATTTCGTGCACGTCAGCTGTTTACGTTGATTTCACTTTACGGCGACAAACCAGCATACGAACATTATTCGGCCGAAGCCAGTGTTATCTTTCCCCTACATGACCCCCTAATGTGGCCGCATAAAGGTGATTTGTGCGTGAATTTAGTAATATTTAGGCGACGTTTCGCAGCATTTACCGCATTATATCCTCCTTCGCCTAATGGTGGCGGGGTTATGGCAATAGGACCCGGAAGAGCAACTGGTAGCAGTTGCTGACAAAAACGTTGGCCGCCTGTGCTTTTCACGCCACCTGTTCTCTGCATCGTCTACCGGACGCCTGTAAAGCCCGGTTTGAATCTCATTCTACTTGAAATTGCCGTAAGAGTTGTAATTTCTAGCCTGACTCCTAGTCATGAGAGCACCGACGTCCCCCCGAAAGTTCGCGAACTTCCAAGTCACAATTTTTAGAACATTGTTGCAACTTTGGATGCGCCAAATGTTTATTATGGAAGATGCGCTGGTTTTTGGTGGTGATAGATTTCCCAAAATCGATGTTCTTCTCTTTTCTGTTGGTCACGCACACTCCAACTTTCGGTGTCTGTCAGTCAGTGCGTGGGCTGATTCAACACAGTTTACGGCAGTTAGTGAATGCCACCAGACGCAAGCTCGGAAGCAGTCATTGACTCGAGCATATCCTGCGCTGTCGGATAAGTGCGTTACGTGGGCCTGTCTTCCAGACATAGCCTCCTCTCCGTGCACAGCACTCAGGTCTCGAAAAACTTTAAAACACTGACTGATGGCGGGCAGAATCAAACGTTGAACATGCCAATAGTTCGTGACTTTGAACGCCACAATTGAGGCGCAGAAATACACAAAAGTATTTAACGTTAAAAGGAGCCACTTACAGTGGCAAATAGAGCAGAAACGTTTCATTCAATATGATGGCATGTAATGTGTGACCGACCTCATGACATATTAACCGAAATTTTGAAAATTATTTTCGACTAGGATGGATTGCTTAGGTGAAGCATAATCCCATGATACTTGGACTCACCGTAATTTTGGCTTTTAAACGCACTTCTTTGCGACCTCCTGTGAAAATTAAACTGAATAAAAAATGACTACTTAAGTTGAGTACATTTTTCACATTGATTTTCGATACCCTAGTTAATTAAAGCTCATTTTGCAGAAAATATGCGCGAAGTAAACTAACTTTTACTTTTTTTGAAGAAATTTACGTCGTCTTTTCATTTTTTTACTTAAAGAAGGAACATATTCAGGTTTTGAAGCAGTTTTCCAATTCCAGAATAATTTCAAACCAGGTAAACTGTTGCATAAGCTTTTTGCGATTTAAGTCTACAAGGTGTGTACTGTCCGCGAAAGTATAATCATATATTATTTTGGGCTTTTAAGAAGAGACCATGCACCGTTGACAAATACGGCAGTGGATGTGGAACATATTGTATAATTCATATGGAACATCACTCCACGCACATGTGCCGTGCTGTATGAATAGACGATGAACGGTCTAAAACTTCTCCCTATTGAAGATTTTTAAAACTGAAAGTCGCTCTTTCCTCGAGTATGAAATATGAACTCGGTGTGATTTGCTACTAAACTAAAGCGTATTTTTGTGCGTGTATTTTATAAAATATGTGCATACTACTTAAATAGTAATTTTAGCCAGTATCGGCGGTCTATTGTTTCATAGATCAACGCATCCTGCTGATCGGCGTTCTGAAAAGGATGATATCGGCGCCACAAATCGGGCAGCCACCAGCCCAGTCAAAGACGTCACCACCTACTATCCCAATAAGACCAAGTTATTTGTTGGTCGACTGCACCCAAATACTACCAAAGCCGAACTTGCAGCCTACTTCTCCAGATACGGATATGTCAGGGAAGTCCAAGTATTAACCAATAGGACAAATAGGAATTTCGGAAAATTTGGTTTCGTTACCTTTGCGGACAGTGGAGCTATCAGCCGGAATGTTCTGAAAACCCGACATCGCCTTCATGGTCGCTACCTCAACGTGCAGATCGCGATATCAACTGGCCAGTCACATCTAGGCAGAACAGAGCCGTCTATCCAGTTAAGTTTCGAAACGAATCCTTTTGCTTTTCTACTGCCAATTTTAATGCTTACTTCATCCTCTTTTAATTTCTCTCTTAGCACATTTCCGTTTTTCGTGATTAAATTTTCGTACATTTTACCTCAATTTTAGTGTTATTTAACACATTCAATGAAGGTAACTTTTCGCTAAGGGTTGATGTCCCATGAAATGACTGTGACATTTTGAGTTTTACGCGCAAGGGACACTATCAGAACTTCCCAAAAACGTAAATTTTACTAAACAATTTAATACCAGTAACAGATTTTCTCAGAAATACCGCACCTCATTTGCTCGGATGACGTACGTCGTTTAGCCATACGGTTGACTGGTGATCAATGACTATGTAGCGTCCGACCTCGAAAGGGGTTCAGTGGCCTGGAGCTCACTCGCGTCCTTTTGGGTTGCCTGGAACGAAACGTCGGAAACTGGGGCACTCTGTCCGATTTGTGAACCGTTAGGATCGTCCTTCCAAGCGCTCAGTGTCGAAGGTTTATTGAGGAAGGGTAAAAAGGAGAACGTAGAACGAGGGAAAACAAAGGGGGGGGATCTATCCGTCCAACAAAACGTTAGTTTCACAGTTGTCTAGGGAAGATGGAGTTGCATGCTGCCACCGGGTAGGGGGAGTCTTCTTTTTCACGTACCTCGACTAAAAAAAAACAAGAGAAAGCAGACAGATAGTGTCCAGACACCAGGCATCCTTGCTCTCGAACTTAGCCCCCTTATCTATTAAAAAACCGTTCATGTGTGACTGCTACAACTATCAACCTTTGGTGAGAGCCTATGTTTTTCTGAAAATTGATTCAGAACGCAGAAACTAGCAGACCTGCCGTCGTTTCCGACGATGTCTATAGAGTTTTTTATAGCATGATGGCGCAGAGGTGTTGAGTTGCGCGGAATTCATTTATAGCGATGACACACTTGCGCAGCTGTATACAGATACTATGGACATCATATGTCCTTCGGATAGTTCAAGCACTGCGAGATAGGCGGTGCTATTGCCTCAAGCAGTGCGCCCAGCAATGACTAGTGAGGCTGGCTTGCGTTGCACCTACCTCACTGTCGCCTTTCACATCCGGCGTCCTCCAATAGCAAGACAAAATTAAAAAGATAGAAGGTGAGCGTGAGTCCAGTGGTTGAGTAAACTAAACAGTTTGTCACACTCCTCTTGCTCCCCAAACTCCGCGCGCACCAGATTTCATTTCTAAACAGTTTCGGGTTTTAAGTGAGGGACTACATTCAGAGGAACCATGAAAGTCTATCATTTGTTAAAATTTTAGACTTTCCGCGCGTGTCCAAGAGAGCCCTTAATAGCACAGGCCTATAAAAATCCTCGCTTACAGTGGATGTGCTAACACATGAAATGTAAATTGGAATTTTTAAATGAGTTTTTGGATCAAAAAGATTACTTAAATAAGGTTGCCATATAAACCGGCGTGCAGTATAATTTCAAGATTTGGAATTCTTAAATGAGTTTTCGGCTCGAAAAGATTACTTAAATAAGGTTGCAATATAGATCGGCGTGCAGTATAATTTCAAGATAGTTCAGTTATCATAGGATAAAAGCTTTTGAACGAACTTTTTCCAATCGCCTGCATTATGTTTCTCCTTGATGTTTGGTGCCTTCATAAATTACGATATTTTTTATGGGAGACATGCATAAAACAGTCATTCTTTCCCTCGTTTGGTGGCAAAAGTTGCGTTTTCGAATTTTATACATGTACGAAGGATATAGTTTGACTTTCCAAAAAGACGTCCGATTCTAGAATACATTTTAGCCGAACATGCTGCTATATTTCTACTCAGGTTTTTTGAACTACGAGCTGTACATTTCCGTGTATGGCATATCATGCATTTTTCCACGGTATTAAGAGAAAAACCATATATGGGTTCATTGAATTTAGTAGCGGATCTGAGCCATGTTATAAAATTTACATACATCATCAGCAAATGCAGATACACATGTTTATGGGCAGGCATTTCACGGTCTTAAGAAATCGCATAATTAGGAACTATTTTAAAACTAAAGTTAACCTTTAGTTCAAGTACAAAATTTAAAATAAACGTAAGTTGCTACCGAATGAGGAAAAGCATAGATATTTTTATACACGATTTCTATGAAATGTATATGAATTTCTAAAGTCATCGAAAACCAAAGTGGACAATTCACAATGCTTAAGCGAGCATTTATTACAGTGTAGACGTTGCAGGTGGCCGGAAAGAAGTTCGTTCAAAAGCTTGCATCGTGCGGTAACTGAATTATGTTACACATTTAAATAATCTTTTCGAGCCGAAGAAGCATTTCAGATTTACATTTCAGGTGTTGGCCCATCTACTGCAAGCATGCTCCCATTTGATCAGTAAATAAGCCGTGAAAATTCTATCGGATACAAAAGCGGTATTCGGAATTTGACGGTGCCCGCTTTTAGAAGCTCGCAGCCGAACACTGGACCTTTTTTAGCAAACAGGCACATTGGGTAAATTTTGTTTCTTGGACATCTACAAAAGTACAGGTATTTGTCGCAGGATACATAATCGGCCAACCCAATTCCCCTAGACGTAGGTGGCATAGGTGCTTCAGACCAAAATGAGCGTCAAACTGGCTTAGGTTGGATGTGGTGATGTAGCCCCACCTGAAGCAAACAAACCCCAGCCACCTGTAATACGGGACCGGTGGTAATGGTGTTTTTGTAAGTGGGGCCGGGTAGCGCACGGGGGATGCTGTCAAGTAGTTTTATGCCAACGAAAGCTATTTGGAATGCGTGATTGTACATTGAATGGTCAAGAAAAAGTTGCACTAACCTCTAACCTTAATCATCATCCCTAACTATAACCCCGAAACCTTATCCCTAGCCCTAACCCTTAACCCCAACCCAAACAGTATTGTTTTCTTCAGGTGAGGCTAACAAACCACATCTTACCTTGGTTTATTCTGCGCGTTTGTTGGGTTATGCCGCCTCTGCGTGAGACTTACCTGCTGACGAATAGGCTCAAAACACTCAATAGACGACGGGTTCCATGTCAGCTCCTTGCACCAGTTTTGGACAGGCTAATCACGCGGAGGAGAGGAGTGATGGCAATACGCCTGAGGGGTATCTCAAGGCAAATCAGCACACTTTTCACGGATAAGAGGCACTTAAAGCCCTCCTGAACTACTGGCAGTAGGGGTTTAGGAAAGTACTGACTGAGCAGGAGACCCGATCCACCCGCATCCACTTCCGCCTCCATGCGTTTGATTTGTTCTCGCCATTCAAGTGTTCGGGGTACGGGAGCAGATAGTGAGGTAGGCGTATCACAAGCCTGTTTCAGTATGAATAAATGCACACTCTTGTAAATGCTGGGTGCGCCTCGTGAGGAAGTAAACAACGCGTATTCCGCGACGACCTACCAATCACATTTATCGATTTTAGAGCATGAAACCACACAGATATGAAAATCCAACTTTTTATAGTCAAAAGGAATTTTTGATTTATTTTTGAAGAAAATTCGTGCTTGTCCACATCCTGTTCCGTCTGACTTACGCGGAGGAAAAAAACGAATTTCCAGGCGAAGTAACTCTTTGTCGATAAAACTGTCGAGTTTAGATTATTCTCCTATGGAAAAAGCATGCATGGATGCAAACACTTATTATGGGGCATTTTACTATTGTGGGAAACGGCTATAATGTGGGGCTACGTGCAATACAAAACCTGAGAGATGAAATGTGCCCAAATTTACTAGCATTTTTTTGTTAATCGAGAATCAGCCCAGATATTTCGATCAACATTACCAATTAATTCTGAAAGCCATTATTGAAGATAAAAACGCAAAAGGAAATATTAGACTTAATATGTTTAGGCCTTGCCAAGGCAATTTTCAGAAAAACAGAAATGCCCAGAACACTATAAATCGTGTCATATGAAGAAATTTAACTTTTAGGAACACACATAGTCTCGCCTTGCAAATAACTGAGTAAGTCGAACACCACAACTATGATAAAGCTTGAAAAAGGTCCTTTTTGGCGTTTGCAGTTGAGTATCCTTCAGAAACTATTGCAATCTCGAGTCGGGTTGTTCGTCAACCGCCTTCAATTTAAGGAAAGATTCCAGGACGGTTTCACGATAATTGGTTGTCATTTACTCCGTTTTTTGTACGAGATGATTTTGGCCAAGTTAAACAGTTCGCTTGATTCTACTGACAGGGAATTTGCCGGAAGAGAAGTTTTCATTAGGTCACATGTTCACAGGCCGCTCTGTAAAAAACCCATTTGAATAAAATAAGGACATGCTATCATAAGCGTACCCTTTGGTCTGCATCAAGAGGTTTTTCTTCCGTAATATTACTGTTATGTTTTTGATGACGACGGATCCCACTGAATCCCAGTAAGCCCTTGACATAACGGTTAATACTTTGCGGTGTTTTGATCCCAATTGACCGTTCATAAGGACAGATTTTGGGCTGTTTGTCTAGTAAGACTTAAAAATGAGATATTTCCTTAAACAACTAACGAGATAGTGATTTTCTGGAATGCCGGTGTCCTTTTGGGTCATAAATGTAGGCCCACTCAAACATGAAATCTCATCGTCTAGAAAAGATGAACATCCACAAAGAAAGTCGACAGCGAAAGTGCTCTGGATCAGTTGGAAAGCTTTCTTTTTTATGTTACCTCTTTAAAAATCATCTTAACAAGACAGTCTACTTGCGGATATCCACGTACCTTTTCAAAGAAAAGTCGTAAAAAGTAGGAACTTATGATTGGCGTTCCATATGGCTGAAAAATGCTGGTAATGTTCCTGTTGCAAACGACAGAACGCGCCTTTTATAATTTAGCCACTTCCGCTGTGTTTGCTTACTTTTTAATTCCGTCCTAGAATCGTAAATACAAAAGTAGCGGGCAAATAAATACTAAGAAATTGTTACAACTGTTGAAGCCCTGTACTTTTCCCCTCTAAAATACGTATTGGCAGAAAGTGAATGGGCCATTCCTTGGTCACATATGGCGTATTCGCAAGTGGCAGGAAAGTATCAGAACATTTAAACAAAGGCTTTGTGACTGTAGTTCAGGACATAAAATAATGCAGATTTTCAACTCTGACATTCAAATGTGACAAAACATCTGCTTTTCAAAAAATAACGTGTTTCCGTACATCCCTACAAACCTCAATTACGGTGGCTAAAAATCGATTTTCAAGTGCCGCAGTCTTTGTTTGGTAAACGTCTAAAGGTTAAATTACTCTGCTCTAAGAAGACCACAAATGGATGTGACAGACTTAGTTAAGGACGGCTCATATTGAAGGAAATTTACTGAGCATAAGTTAACGAAGATTGCTGCTCAAGTTAATAAACATCATTCCGTATGCTAATAGGACATTTTCCGGCTCTAGTTAGGCAAATACAACTGGTTTGGCTTGAGAGAGTGTTCGTTAGGCACAATGAGACGAGTGAGTTCCGTAAGAACGCTCGGTGAGCGCCCCTCTATCATATATATGTATATTTGAAAGGATGGAATTCTTTGGGAAACAGTAAACATTATTGTGTAAATTTTCTAAGCTGGTTCCCTAGGTCCTCTTTAGACTATTGGGGTGCAAAAACAATTAACTTCTAAACTGAGTCTGGCAAAGGGTTTTATGATTGGCTTAAGTCGGAGCCAATGTGTGTTAATTGCAATTCGTCATCCCCTCGGGACCGGTTGTGCTATTTTGAATTTGTCTTAATCAATTTGGTATGTGGTCATCCGTTTTTGTCTAACATCTTTATCTTCTTCTGCCGTTCAAATTCAGCTACGTAGGTGATCGTTTCGCTTAGGGAGTCAACTAAGTCTAAGAGCAGATTATTACGGCAAAATTCCATAGGTTGTTCTTTAGAAATTTGAAATTTGTGAGGTCGGTAATTGGGCACCACTTATGAATGCACCAAGCATGCTTTGTCCGTAACGAGACGCAATTCATTATCCCAGGGTTGATTGTACGGCAGACCCAATCTTTCGCAAGCGGAGTTCTGTCAAAAGTCTGCCATATCAAGCCAAATCGCATTGCTCTGGTGAAAAAAGCTTCCAAGTCAAACTAAATTACCTGTTTGAATTATTTTCAAAGAATGGTTACGCTAGAGATTTTGTAAGTCGATGCATGAATCAACAAAAGATAAAAACAAAGGAATTAGATAGTTCCAATCAAGCGTCCAAAGCAAACACTTGGCGAATCCTTCCTTACATCGGAAATGTGCCTGAACTTGTTGAAAGACACTTGAGGAAACACCAGATAAGAGTGGCGCACAAGCCGACGACTACTTTGCGCATTCAACTTGTACACCTTAAGGATAGGGTTGGCTATCTTGATAAACAGGAAGTCGTCTATAAGATCCTATGCGATACCTGCGATGCCGTATATTGTGGTCAAACGGGGAAATTAGCCTCTATACGCATCCACGAACATCAACTGGCACTTAAGAGGCGAGAACACCTGTCTCAAATAGCCATGTACACTCTTGACTTTGGACACACTTTTGCATGAAACAAAAATCGCGCCGTCGGAGTTCGTCTATCTAAAAAGGCCCAAGAGTTTCTTGAAACCACGCACTCCGATGAGTAGTGCATCAATAGGCATATCGAGTTAAACGCAATGTACGAAAATCTCATGGAAATGTGAAAGACACGAGAGCCAATCGATACAGACTGACACACACGTCGGCCGGATACTGGCTGAAGCACCAGATGAATATTGATTTTTCAGGACGTTTGAAATGTTAACTGTTTTTGGCACGTGTCGTCCAGTCTGACGATGACATGGGAAACCGACGTCGAAAATATATTCAAAATGTTTATCTCCTTTTTCCAAAGAAATTATTTGCCTTCAAATGATATTTCTTGGGATGCCTGCGTTCCAATTCATATATATGCATATATAGATTGAAAAACAGGCATCCCAAGAGATATAAAGAAAAAAATAAATTCTTTGGGAAGCAGCAAACTTTACACAATATAGATTTGCTGTTTCCCGAAGAATTTCACCTTTCCAAATATGCATATATATGCAGAATGGTATTGCAGACAAAGACAAGGAGACTGGAATGGCCAGTTTTAGCTTATTTGACGTCGTCACCCAGTCAAACCCAACTCCGGAGTGCGGAAAATCTGGGGCTCGAACTTGCGACCTGTTAGTTAGAAGTCCACCGCCCGTAAGGCACAATGCAACGTGTCGATTTTGTAAGAACGGTCGGTGAGCGTCCCTCCAGCACTATCCAAATATGCTGCATACCAATCAAGTTTTAACACCTACCTAAGTTATCGTTGCAGGCTGAGATCATATTTTGGAATTTCAGTGTTGCATGAGTTTCACCTCCATTCGAGGTATTTCAGGGGAGTCAGGACTTAAAAATTATGCTTAACGTAATAACCACACTATTGCCTAGCACAAATTCCGTCGGCCTTGCCACGCCGAATATACGGAAACCCTTAAAATGCCAGCCAGAAATTTGTCGAACTTTCATTTAAAAGGTATTTGCTATGGCTGTTTTAGAGACTGCTCCACGCAGTTTGGCGGTGTCAGGGATGCCAAGGAAGCAATCGATTTTGTCGCCTTGGCGGACAGCGAGATGGCCAGGCGTAGGACCCCGAAGACGCGAGACATTCCTGGTGACCTGAACGCAAAGTCTGATCTCTGCGCCCGTCCGTAAGTTTTCGAAGATATTTCATTGACTTCGTAGTACTTGTCATTTTCTCACTTGACCACTCGCCCGTTGCCAACGTTCACTTTGGCATTCTCTCGTCCACCCTTCTACTCTTTTTTTCGAATTTTGCCGCTTTCTTAGACGATACGGAGGCACTCCACAACCGATGTGGTCACTTTTATGATAGACAAACTGCATTTTAAGACTACCTAAACAATCCAGACATGTGTACAGTCGGTGACTGATCTCATGAAATGTCAACCGTAATTCCGAAATACGTTTCTGATTAAAAAGAATTACTTCAGTTGGGTTCCCATATTGAGCATCGCGAAACAGATCCAAGATAATTCGGTCACTGCAGTCTGACAACTTTTAAATGCATTGTGTGCTTCGCCGTCTTTGAAAACCGCGTCCGGCAAGAAGAAAGACATATGTAGTACCCCAATCTTTCTATTGATTCTCCATATCCTTATATATTGAATTATATTCTAAGGAAAACATGAACGAAATTGTTTCCCTTTACTCATTTCGTAGCAAACCAAGTCTTCTCCAAATTTTTATTAGAAGAAAGAGTATCTTTTGGTTTAAAAAGTAGCTTTTAATTATAAGACATCCCGAGACCGTGAAACATTTATTTAAATATCGTCGTATCCGTATTCCTAGTAGTGCTGTTCATGAAGCATACAACATGCTCCACGTCCATTGTGAAATTCCGTGATTTCTGTTTCATATCTTCTTTACGGCATAGAGGTATGCGTGGTTTTCTCCAAAAGCAAATTATACAGCCTTTAGAATCTAACCACATTACGCAAATGAAACGGCACAGATTCGAAATTATTTGAAAACTGAAACATTTTTTCAAAATGTAAATATGTTTGTTATTTAGGTAAACGGTTTGAAAAAAACTTACTTTGCTACCATATAAGTGAAATAAAACATATTTGTGTGCATGTTTGCTAGAATATCAATTCAAATGGATCCCGAAGCTCCATAGAAAAAAATGCATACTACATAAGTAGCCATTTTTTAGGCTGCCGGGTAGAAGTGCACTCACAGGCCGGCATTCTGCAACGACTAGATTATCCTGGATTTATGCTTCACGGTGTTCAACAAAACAACCGCGCTGAAGTAATTCTTCTTAATCTGAAACGTATTTCGGATCATGAACTCGGCCATCAACTGTATATAATCTAACTTCCACACTAATGTGAACCCTTATCATAACATATTTCATGTGTCTGCATGTTTAGTCCCGCAAACCATCCGAAATCGTTTTGCAATAAGAAAGCTCATGCGTGCCCGTTTCCCTGGTGTTTGCTCTGCTGCTGAGTGAAACAACTCGGCGAATAAGGCGAATAAAAATCGTGTTTTCATTCAATGTTTTGTGCGGGGAACTGTTGCAATGACTGGACTTGTCTTTGTTTGAACTGACCCTACTGTGAATGTCCGCATATCGATGACCGGCAACAATCGGGAGATGGCACCCAAAAAAATCCGCCTAACCAAAGCAGTTTATCTTACGGGACAGGTGGTAATAGGGGTTTTAAGGGTGGTGGCTGGTCGGGATGTGCGCTACTAGCCGATAGAAAGCCTTATTTGAACAGCCGAATGATCGAAATTGGCCCGCTCTCCGTTCCGTTATTACAAAATGGGTCGCCAAAGGCAGTATAGTGGTAACGGGCGAGTGGAAGGCGTATAATCGTCTTCCCTCAGAAGGTTATCCACATTTTTCTCTTAACCCCTCAAAGAACTTCAAGGATCCTACCACCGGACGGCACACCAATGCCATTGAAGCATACTGGAGTAGACTGGGAAGGAAACTTCACGAGAGAGGCCCTGTATGTGGTCGAGCTGTGTGGGCTTACATAGATGAAGTACAGTATCGTCTTTGGTTTGGCCGCAATGCCATGTCTTTGACAGATGCCTGAGAACTGTTCCTGCCCCATGTTGCGCAGACTTGTCCTATTTAAAAGTGATTTCGTTTTGTAATAAACTGCCATAATGCGAATGTATGCCGTTTATTCAGGTGTACGTGTGTAACGATGGGGAGGTTGGGTAATAGCGACAATCGTCCATGCAACCTCCTGCGATGTTCTTTCGGCCAGCCCATGTTAGGCCGTCGGCGAAAGTCCAAGTAGTGCCTGAAAGTAGGCCTGCAACCGCTGATATAGCCTGAAGGCGTTTGCGTCCACTGTTAAAGGTACTATTTCTAGGTAACGGATTTTTTTGGGCGCCATCTCCCGATTGTTACCTGATGGCCTTATTTGAACGGGGCGGAGACCTGTTTTTTCAGCAGCCCTCTACGTACTCCTAACTGAGCAAAATAATCGCTATGTTAGTAACGGTAGGATGTAGGACTTCAAGCGGATATCAACTCTAACATGTACGCAAAACTTCAGTGTAAATGTAAACATCACCTGTTATTGACAACTCCCATTAGTTGCGATTTCCTTGGTTTCCTGACTAAATGTAAACTCACCGACTTCGGATTATTCCAAGTCCGTTATTTTCTGAAAATTGCCTTTTGGTTACTTTTTGGTTATTACGTCCAATTTCTGGGTCAAATGACAGCATATGACAAGACTCACGACAGAAACTCATTTACTTTCTGTGTCTTCTTGCCCTCCATTCTTCGTGTGGCCCCACCCGCAGGACCCCCTCTCCCACCATTCAGTGCATGATAGGGTCCACAGACTAGCTCAAGTTATTTGAGGTCCTACACCCTACCGTTGCCAAAGGTTGACTTACAGACCCATCGTCTAATCCGGTGACTTCCTTTTTTTCTAACATACTTACGTCCTTTAAATTGTCGCGCTGTCCCAGTTCATAGAAGACTTCCTTAAAACGTCTCAGGAATTTGAGATACGGTGAGGAAACTGTCACGTCTAACCATGGCAGTCTTGAGAGGACAAAAAGTATTACACATTTCATTGAAACCTATCGTAAGGTAGTTAGAACAAAATTTGGCAGTATGTAGTTTAGGAAAAACTGGGATTCTGCTTGTTATAGAATTCCGAAGCAGAGAGATGTTTTATGCGGAGGTGTTGCGAGCAGCAGATTTCCTCTCTGGTCTGCTTACCAGTTGGGGCTTAGAAGCGTAGTGGACTTGCGGAAATCCTAATAGCACGGAGTAATCTAAGCCGGACAGCCGAGCTCGGTTTTTAACATGAAAAAAATGTGATCAAAAAGGACATCGGATCGAGTATTAAGAGAAACTAGGTCACCACGGCTAAGGTTGACATGATTAAAATCGCCGCATTAGATGTTCACAGGACAATAAAACTTGTTTTGTAAAATAAAGTCTAAAAATCGGACTAGGGTGTCGTCACGGCTGGGGGGAGGGGGAATGTAAATACTAAGCAGTTTAATTCCGTTAAAATTATCTAAATAACGGATCATACATATTACGATGAAAACAACGATCAGGTCATCAGAGTAAGAAAATAAGATCTCTCACTTCAAGCACCAGGTGTTACTAACGAACATAGTCACTCCTCCACCTCTGTTGATTGATGAGGACTTACTATCTTGCCGATAGCTGCGGTTTATTCCAAGTCCGTCATTTTCTGCAAATGGCCTTTTGGTTAACACGCGCAATTTCTGGGTCAAATGACAGCATATGACAAGACTCACGGCAGACATTTATTTACTTTCTGTGTCTTCTTGCCCTCCATTCTTCGTGATGCCCCACCCGTAACACCTCCTCTACCACCATTCAGCGTATGATACGGTCCACAGACTAGCTCAAGTTAGTTGGGGTCCTACATCCTGCCGCTCCGTTGCCAGTCGTCACCTTTGGGTCTCTTCTCATCACTGAGCAGGCCTGCAGAAAGGCTTCACATGCCTGAAATTGCTTTCCCGCCTTTCCGGTGCATTGATTTGCCTCGCAGCCAACAGCGGATGATCCAAAGACGCCCTCCTTGTAGTCCAGTTAGACGAACCGGCAGGTTTCATGGATGGTTCTTGTCCAACAACAGCAACCCTCTCTGGCAGGTCCTTTGCGGTCTGCAGTTCACTAGCAGTTTGAGCTATCAATAGTAGTGAAAATCCGATTCCCAGCTGGCATATCAAAAGAAGAGTGGGCGTTCACCGGGAGGGGTTTATTTGAGATCCGACGTTTCGGGTAGTTTACTCGTCTACCCATCTTCAGGGACTGGGAGGTCCTGTGCACAGCACTCCTTATTATGGCGCCCTTTGTCCAATGCGTGATCCGCCAATGCCGCCTGTGTGGCTGCATCCAACCTGCATGTCACCGTGACCTGAATCGCCCCCGTCGGCCGCGGTGATGACTGACGGCCCCGATTGTCCCGCGCCGTGACTGTCCCCCGCTAAGAAGGTTCGTAAAGTCAGATAAGGGGGAGACAAATTGATGTGGCGGTTGACAGAGCGGTCGGTGGACATCCAGGCTTCTTGTACTTGCCTTGCTGTGTGATCGCTGCCCCGGCCCACAATCCCAACGGCGTCAAAGTTTAAGATGTGTCTCATTTGCGCGGCATGGGTTGCTACCTCCGACTTTGGGTCCAACCTTCGCACGGCCAACTTATGCTCGTGCATTTGCGTTTGCAGCTGTCGGCCGGTTTCCCCAACGTAGTTGCAACTTCCGCAGCTGCATTGAAGTCGGTAGACAACGGCCGACATCTCCTGCTTAGGGATCGGATCTTTCGGCCGCATCACTTGCCGGCGGATTGTTGAGTCAGGCGTGTGGGTAACACCTATTCCGAGTGGCGCGAGTGATCGAGCCACGACTTTGGAGACCCCTTTAATGTACGGAATGCTCCGCCACGAGTTTGGCTGACTATGCTCCTCGTTCCGTTTCTTTGACTGCCTCCGGCTTCGTTCAATGAATGCCCGCGGATAGCCATTGGCTCTGAAAAGTTCTCGGAGGAGCTTTATCTCATTCATTTTGGCGGCTGGCGTGCTGCAATGAGTTTCCACCCGTCGGTACAGCGTGCGGACACAGCTTCGTTTGTGTTGTGGCGGGTGGTTGCTGTTTTTAGCTGAGAATTTGCAGCGTGTTCGTCGGTTTTCTGTAGGCCGACGTCGCTAGTTCGCCATTTGGTTGGCGGCAGACGAGAACATCCAAGAATGGAAGTTTGTCCTCGACTTCCTCTTCCATCGTGAACTGTAGATCGGGCATGATTGTGTTTAGTACTTCCATATAGTAGTTGGTTTTATCTTGGTCTATGATCACGAAGGTGTCATCAACGTAGCGTGCCCAAAACTTGGGTTTGTACTCCTCGAATAGTCGTCTCTCGAGTTTTTGTAGAACCGCCTCGGCAATGAGTCCGGAGATTGGTGAACCCATTGGAGTGCCCTTGATCTGCTCGTATGTGGTCCCTTCGAAGGTAAAGAATGTCTTGATGCAGTGCCCCATGAGTTCTATGAGATCCTGAGCTGTGGGCTGGCCATCGCCCCCGTCGTAATTTTGACGTAGCAGGTCACTGAGCGTTTCGACCGCAAGGGCCTGTGGTATGGACGTGAAGAGTGAGACGACGTCAAAAGACACCATCCTTTCATTCGGTTCGATCGTGACTGCACTTATTTTGTCAAGGAATTGTTCTGCTGAGTGCACCGTTGTTTGTGAGCCTGCAGTGAGGAATCTTAGCTTCTGAAATAGCCAGCTTGCAAGCCCGTATGTGGGAGTGCCTCGGAGCGAGACGATAGGACGGAGGGGAACATCTGGCTTGTGTACTTTTGGGAGACCATAGAATCTCGCCATAGCGGTTTCTGCGGGCTTTGCCATATACCAGTCTCTGACGGTGATGACCTTGTCCTTTTTTAGTCGAGCCAGAATTCTTTGCCACTAGAACTTTAGACTGGCGGCGTCGCTGACTTTGTAGGACTCTCGATCGTTGAGGAGCATGAGGGCTTTGCGTCAGTGACCTGCTACGTCAAAATTACGACGGGGGCGATGGCCAGCCCACAGCTCAGGATCTCATAGAACTCATGGGGCACTGCATCAAGACATTCTTTACCTTCGAAGGGACCACATACGAGCAGATCAAGGGCACTCCAATGGGTTCACCAATCTCCGGACTCATTGCCGAGGCGGTTCTACAAAAACTCGAGAGACGACTATTCGAGGAGTACAAACCCAAGTTTTGGGCACGCTACGTTGATGACACCTTCGTGATCATAGACCAAGATAAAACCAACTACTATATGGAAGTACTAAACACAATCATGCCCGATCTACAGTTCACGATGGAAGAGGAAGTCGAGGACAAACTTCCATTCTTGGATGTTCTCGTCTGCCGCCAACCAAATGGCGAACTAGCGACGTCGGTCTACAGAAAACCGACGAACACGCTGCAAATTCTCAGCTAAAAACAGCAACCACCCGCCACAACACAAACGAAGCTGTGTCCGCACGCTGTACCGACGGGTGGAAACTCATTGCAGCACGCCAGCCGCCAAAATGAATGAGATAAAGCTCCTCCGAGAACTTTTCTGAGCCAATGGTGAACGCCCACTCTTATTTTGAGTTTGAGCTATTGCCCCAAAATACAGCGTATATCGCTCGCCGTTCTTTATGAGCAAGCACTCAGATGATATGCTTCTGTCTTTAAATAGTGAACACAAACACAGAACTTCGGCGGGTCGTTTGATGGTGGGGGCGAGGGTTGTATAGCCTGAGATTGCCAAAATTGCAATGACATACTGTATGTGATTCAACTCATGGGACGTGATAATGAAAATACTTCAAAGGTCCAGGCCGCGAGCGAGACTCTGACTATCACGACCTTCAGGCCCGGTCTCGAATGGGAAGAGAAAGTGGGCGCCAGTTGTGAGGATGATGTATACTGTAGAGACTAACTGGAAAAGTGGTTGGAGAGAGCTAGTAGCCAGACAAGGGCACGCCCAGCGCCCGGAAGAGCGGCGTTCCAAGTGTCCGTCGAGGAATGCGACAAAGCGTATCAAGCCAGGATACGTCTGACTCGGCCTTGAAACTGATTGGCTAGTTGGAAAGCCGAGTGGGCGAAGGCCAGACAGCCATGGTGCGCACGTGCAGACACTCGCCAGAGCCCAACGTTGCGACAGGAACTCGGAGCAGGGCCACTACAGAAACTAAATTCCTCTTGGTATACTTCAGACGTCATGTATTCAAATTCCTTGCTGAAACTGTGGCGACATACGCCTTTTTTCATTCATTTGCCCATTTTACCCACTAAATACCGATCTTTATCCCTGTTTGCTTACCTGAACTACGGAAATGAGGCTATCTGCACATTATGCTAGGACCATTTTAAAGGAAGTAAAATGCGCCGCGAATTTTGCGATTTTATGTCTCGTTGATTCTTCATGATGATATTAACCATTAGATATCGCTTGTGACCTTCAGATGTTATCCATTTTGCGTGAACGTTTTATGCACTGTAAATAGGGGGCTTTTTGCTGGAAATTCCGAATGACACTTTTAAAGTAAAATGTAGCTCTCTATCTATCTCTCTCTGTCAATAGAAGCGAAGAGACGAGTCCCAGGAAGCAGTCGTGAAGAAGGAGACTCGATCGCTGCGAAAAGAGCTTTATTAACCTGATGTTGCGAATTCCTGCTCGAACCCATCATCAGAGACAAAATCACATGCCCTTATCACCCGTATCTGCTTTTGTCTCTGATGATGGGTTCGAGCAGGAATCCGAAACGTCAAGCTATTAAAGCTCTTGTGATGGCGATCGTGCCTTCTTCTTCTTCTTCTTCTTCTTCTTCTTCTTCTTCTTCTTCTTCTTCTTCTTCTTCTTCTTCTTCTTCTTCTTCTCTCCCTCTCTCTCTCTCTCACAGCTGACCCCCGGCGGGCTCGGTCCCGTTCCTATCTTTCTTGGATTTCGACAATTTGGCGCAACCCGATACGATTTCCTCCAGTTTCGACATATAATCCGTCAAAACCACCATCACTACTCCTGGTTAGAATAACATCTTCATGTCCAAGAAATGCTCTGAATCAGTCGAGATGGGCTCCTGCGAAGGAACCTTTGTTCCTTACTGTCCTCTGTAATGACCTGACGGCAGTTAACCAGGTTTGATTTAAGACAATCAACTTCCATAGGCCTGGAGTGTTTTAGTCCGGTAGTGAGGTTAGTGAAACTTGGATTGTATTTACAGTTTTAGTTGCTTTGACATCCAGCATGCAATGCTACACTTAAAACCAAGAGATGGTATCTCTAAGATGCTTATGTCTAGACACACTGAAGAGTAGTTGTGAATTTATCGATCTGGACTTTTCAGATGGGCGGTCTGAGCTTCCACTGGAAGTGCACTTCGCGGAATTCTAGTCCACTCGGCGTCGATTCTCTTATTTTCGATTGTCTGCACGCAATTTCGAAGTGCCAGTCCCATATTTACCAGACTATCGAGGGCGGCTGTTTTCTGAAATCAGTTCCATTCAACTTCCTCTAGATGATTTTCTACTTGTCATCTTAGCATGATTTAAGTAACGACGATATGGTTCCTTCACAAGTTTTTACAGTAATGCCTCAGATGTAGCGGAAGATTAATGCACCATCACATAGATAGGGTCGTCACATCTGCCTCCGCGGCTCTGTTGTCAGACCTCGAAAAGTCACTGGGTTCCTTTAACACCGAGAAATCTTTTGATTGTTTCAGGGCTGCGAATATTCTCATGCTACGCTTGAGAAGTGCGTCAGTGTCAGTATTTTACTGACACCAACCCAGACTGAAATCTGTCATAAAATTTGGCTGAGCATATATTATTGCATCTTGTTACCACCCAAACGTGTTATGAACGTTTTCCCGGCTGATAAAATTCCAGGAATATATTGTGCAGAAAAAAATTCCGTCAAACTACCTTCCCACACAGTCATTCAAATCTCTAGACGAACTGATCAGCCGTCTCAGTATTCGATAAAAAAAAATATATGACCAGTTTTCATTAATCACGTGAACGAGAGATGCTTGAAAAAGGCCATTACAGCGACTTCATGAGCACTTAAACGACAAAGGGGAGTGTTCTTTTCAAGAAATGAAATACAATTTAAGAAGAAGGAACAATATGCGTATCGACAGCACGTTTCGGATTCCCACGAGAACCCGTCACTGGAGGCAGTCCCAGGTGACGGTTACGGAGACCTGATGAGTGCCCTTTTTAAAGGACGCAGTTGCAACACAACTGTGTACTATAATCGGTAGCTTCCGCGTTCATAACTGGGGCTCGTGCCATTCGTTGTTTGCTTGTTAGCCCGTACCCGAGAATAATCGCGAAATGTGGTTTCTTGGCCTGATGATTTCTCGACAATTTGGCTAGCTGTCATTGGAATTGTCGGTCGTGCGCGCCCTACTCGCATGACTAGCTACACTGCAAGGGCAGAGTGGCAGCACAGAATAAACCCGCGGGGATCATGGCGTTTGTTGATCGACTGCTGTCAGGGGGACCATAAATGCAGCAGATCGCAGCTCCCGTGGTTGTCGTCACTGGTGAGAATCTCGTGCTCGTCAGACATGTGGCCGGGTCCCCTCGAATAAACCGCGACTTGAGCTATCGTCAATCCTACCCACTGCCGATATTGGTGTTCGGAGCTTCGCGTTCAGAGTAATTTCCTAGGTCGCCGACGTAAGTGTTTTGTCCAAAATTGCTCCAGGAACTATAAAATACTTCAGGCGTCTCTTGTCGAAGTAGTGGGTCTTTCGGCCTCTTCTGGCTGACGGCTTACGATATGTTCTTTCGTGTACAGCAACGCTCGCCAAAGTTTGGGGCCGGTTGGAGTGGGTGTTTCAGCCCGTTTGCGCGTGAGAAAGTGACCACTCGCTCTAAACGCTCATCAAAGACATTGTAGTTCACTCTTCCTGTTCACTTTGATGCAAATTAACACGCCAGTATAACGTCCTTACACAACTGCGTTTGTGACTGCTTGGTGTTAAAGTCCAGAACTTGGGTTGTATTAGTCGCATTACTGAATGCTTTAGTTTTTAGGCTGCCACAATCTTTTCAGCGTACTAGGACGTCAAGCATGGTTAGTCGGTCGCTCTCTTCCTCTTCCATCGCAAACTGGGTCCGCGAATACAAAACTGAGACGTCCTTTGAATGGCACTACTTTGTCGCCTTCGATGACGACTAACGTATCATCCATATACCGGGCCCAGCATTTGGTCTGCGGTGTCTAAAGCTCATCGACACCTACAACAAGTGTGGCCGTTGTTTATGCCCCTTGAGGTTCGTGCGTGTGCTCGATTAATGTCCACCAAATGGACTAGGTCGTAGCGTTGGTCAGCGTCAAACCATCACCACGCAGACTGGCTGAGTCACGTGCTGCGCGGTCATTCAGGTGACGAGGGGGTTCTTCCGAGGCACCGAACGCAGGCCGCCATGTCAGCTGACTTAAATGGGCTGATGGTGTACGCCGACCGTCCTCTGGGCGCAAACACTAAACAGCTGCGGTTTTTAGGCACTTTTAAATGGTTATCCGTTTTGCTCGCTTTGGCAACACAGTTTGTTACTTCATCCCTTTATTGCAGTCTAACTGCTTTCAAGTCTTGCTGTTTACCCTGGCGGGGTTTCCGTCGTGCGTTGGCCCATGAACAATCGGTCATATGGATGCTGGTACAGTTTCAAGCGAGCTATAAGACCTTAGAGCCGTTTTGGAAATCGTGTGATTTCACGTCGCTGGTTCTTCGCCGCCTACACGTACGCCATAACCACCAGTGGACACTTTCGACTGAAAATCATGAAACGGGCTCCTGCATAAAACAGCGACTGGTTACCTCGACAGGGCTTGTGATTGTGATTGGTCCTTCAGTAGACCAGTCAGATTTCGGCCTCATGCTGATTGGTTGAGAAGAGCTTTATGACACAAGTAGCGCGTAATGTCGGCTACCTCTGTCGGTTAGGCAGATTGACGCAGGCCAAACATGGCGGCGGATAAAGCTGTGTGTGGAATATGTAATAAGCCGTGAGTATACGCACTTGTTTCTAACTTGTCTTCTGTAAATTCAGTAAGCGTCAAAGTTCCCACATCTACCTATTTCATATATTTACGATGGGTCCTAGTTAATCAAAACGGACTTCACTTTGACGATTTAAGGTACCAGGAGGTATCAAAGTGTGGAATTCTTCCACAAGGTCTCATCTCTGCCCTTGGGAGCAACGGTGACTTCTTACACTTGTTTCGCCATTTTTTGCCTTTAAACCTTGTTATGTTGATCTTCGGCAGAGTAGCATTATCAACAAAGACAGGGGAGACAGGAATGACCATTTCTAGCTTATAAGCCGTCGTCAGTCAGTCATATATGACTGACTTAAGCAGGTCGTTCAACTGCAAATGGGGGGTTTTCGACTGTAAAGCCCACTTGCGCAGACTTCCACGTGCGCTTGAAT